TAAAAATAGTATAACACAAAATACACCAAAGTTATCTTTCGGGAGTCACTGGACGTTCCAACATATCTGTTGCCCAAAATACACGGCACGAACTGTTACAAAATACTTAGATTTCAGGAAAATTAATGTATTGGCGTACCCCGCAGAAAGTCCTGACCTAAACCCCAATGAAAATTTATGTACATACTAGCAGCGTGGCCCGGCGTGGCCCGTGCTTGATTCAAAAATCGTACGACTCATACAGCAATTGCTATCACTTGACTTAAAATATTTTTGCTCTTCCTTGCCTTTAAAGGAGTGCTCTTTGCCGTGCTGATGTTGCTACATGCCTTACTTCTTGCCTATCTCACACTGCGAATTTTTTCTAAGCTCTATACTAAACATTAAATCTGTTATGAAAAAAGAACTAAACAAAATGAATACAAAACGATCAGCTTTAAAAAAAGGACTCGTAACTGGAAAAACCGAATGAAAAAAGAATGTTAACAACAAATACTTTTTCACACCCAACCCAGTTCTGCGGAATCAGAATCAACGTTGAGTTTAAGCAAGCGAATGTGCCAATTGGAGTAAAGTGCCATACAGATTTAATTTTTTCCCACTTGTGACGAATGCAGCTATCGATTTTTTTCATGCATGTCAGTCAGCTGTTGGCTCTAACGCTGGCCAATAGAATCATCCTGCGTATTCGTGAAAGCCAGCTAGTGGCTCTCACTCTGGCCAGTAGAAAATGGCTGCAAACTACATGGAAACTGCCGTAGAAGCATGAAAAAATCGATTATTTCCACTATCGATGAGAGTTGGGAAATGCAACGTCGGTCTTGGCCTTCCCGCTAACTTGGAGTATGTGCATTTATTGTTTGGTGCAAATTTGTTACACACACATACACATCCTGCCTTTTACAGATAGAGATTTGAAGAAAAAAAGTAAGAGAAAGAAGTCCTTCGAATTTGGAGAAACTGGAAGCTATTGCCAAGGAAGAATGGAGCAAAATACCTATCATTGTGTGTAGTGATCTTGTAAGGAACGATCAAAATCAATTAAAGGCAATAATCAAGAATAAACGTTGCACAATTGATTATCGAGGCACGAGGGCCAAGAATTTTATCCCATGTTAAATGTTTTTGGTTTGCTTTTGGTATTATTATTTGAAATTAAAATGAAAAAAAAATTGTGTCCTCCTTTTCTTTGAGATTTCTCGAACATTTAGGTCAGTAAATGTCGTTAATACTGTTTATTATAAACAGAGCATTTACTTAAATATTTGTATCTATAAAAATAACATGTAAACAAAAATATATTGAAATAATTGTTGTACTTCCATTCCATATATATATATATATATATATATATATATATATATATAATGATGATGAAAGCGGAGACTTTAGAAATCCATAGTAATAATCTATTTCACGGGATCAAATCCCGTCTCATCAGACCAAACAATTTTACAGCAGTAGATGAAGTTTAAAGGGAAAAATCTGAGAGAAAGAGAGAAATATATTCACAGAGAGATCTGGGGGAGTGTGTGTGTGTGTGTGTGTGTGTGTGTGTGAATATTGAAGTCAACACTTAGAGGAGACAGGCTGTTTCATGCTAGATGCAATCGTCAGGCCACCAGTGTTGGTTGTTTTTCTCGGCTATTTATATATACGGTTCAGTGTTGCATTGTGGCTCGTCTATTTTGGCGGTTATTTTCCCTGGAAGTCGTTTATTTGTTTATTTATTTATTCATATATTTTGGTTAAATTATTTTGCTTGTTTTTATTTATTTTTATTTCTTATCTTATTTATTCATTTTATTTTAATCGGTGTTTTATTAACGTAGTAAAAATTTGTTTATATCGCTTCTTTAATAGTCTTGTTTTGGTTTGGGAAGATAAAGCTATTTATTCAATTTTGGGGATGATTGTTGTAGTCTATTCTAATTATTATTTTGGCGGGAGCAGTTCTTAATTTGTTTATTACTTCATTTATTTATTTGGATTGATTATATTTGCTTGTTTTTTTTTCTAACGGTTAATTTATCGGGATCGGATGGTTTATTTATTTGAATTAATTTAGCTTAATTTCTTTTACTTGTTTTTTATTATTTATTTATTATACTGTATATTTTTATTTACTCTTTTCGGTCTTCGATTTTTAAGTAACGTAGAATTTTTTATCGTTATATAACAGTTATAGCGATGTTTTCGTCCGATTTTTCTTTGATTTTTATAGTCTAACTAATATTTTCGTCATAATGGTTTGTTAATTTGTTTATTATTTACTTTATTTGTTTGGGTTCATTTATTCTATTTCGTCTATTCTAGCGGGTAATTTGTTTGGGTTAATTTATTTTACTTATTTTATTGTAATTTTGTTTATTTATTTTCTTTTATTAGTTTTCGATTTTTAAGCAACGTTGTAAAAATTTGTTTTCATGTCTGCATTTTGAGATGAGCTCGGATCGTTTATTTAATAATTTATTTTGGTCTGGGAAGGTAATGATACCTATTTTTTCTTCCAAGCAAAGTTTGCAAGTTTTGTATTGCTTTGGAGGAAAAAATAGCTATCATTACCTTGAAGCAAACCAAAAGTAATGATGCACCACTGACACGTACAGAGAAAAACAAACAACTCTCGTGGCCTGAGGATTCCGTCTAGCATGAAACAGACTGTCGCCTCTAAATGTTGACTTCAATGTTCACTTTTATATTTACACACACTCTATCTCTTATATTGAGCACTTTATCCCATAAATATAGCACACCTTAAGAGTATATTTTTTTCTTGTTTTTTTTTTCCCCATAGTGAAATCCGCCATCAGATATATCTCTTTCATTTTTCCAGTCCGTTTTCATATACCATCACACCTTCTTCATGTCTTGTAACCTCATTACATTAGTAATCTTGTCTAATCTCATCAACTCCGCGGCCATTTTTTACCTGATCTGTTTCATCAGACACACACACACACACACACACACACACACACATCTGTCTCGTATTCTGTCGTCGCTTAAAAGTTAAACATGGGTAAATAAATGTTTTTTAATAATATTTTTTTAACTCATTTTAACTCATTTAGTTAGTTGCTATGATAACAATTTCGAAGATCGTCACTGTCTGCCAAACAGTCTGTTTGGAGTCACAGGTGGGTTTCTTGATAGACAATTAAATTACAGGTGTGTGTTAATCCATAAATAAACAGTTCACAACATGACATTATTAAACGAAAATCAAAGATAAAGATCAGCTTCACACACAATGGTTACACATTTTGTAACATTGCCAGTATAGAATATATTAGCATAATTTAAGGCCAATGGTTAAGACAAAAATATCCCCTAATTAAGAAACAACCAGACAGGTTGTTGAAAATATATCATATTGCTGAAATTTCATAGGGTCATTTGACGACGTCAAGTCCCGCAAGTATAACTAAAATCTGGATGTGGTAGTCTTTTCATTTATTCCTGAATTGGCTGCCATAATTACTCATGTATAATACGCTTTCACCCATAATACGCACTCCTAAAATTGTGCTGATAGTATGGGAAAATGCTTCTACTCACGCATAATACGCACCCCTTGTTTGGTAATAAAACCCTATAAATTTTACCTCTCCAATTTCATTACGGCCAGCGATTGTTACTCTTATTAAAAATATCGTTTTAGACATAGAATAATATTATTTTAGTTTAGTTTTATGATAATTCTTATTTTATTTTACATTTTTAATATTGTTGGGTACATATGATTGTATTTGACATTGTTAGGGGGTCGCTATCGCCGAATGTTAGTGTCAAATTATCGTATGTTTATGGTGAGTAGACATTTCGCAAATGAAATCGACCTATGAAGCGGCAAGTTTTTTTTAAATATTTGTTTGTACCAGCACATAATAAGCACCCCTACTTTTGCTTATAATTTTTTTTAGAAAAAAAACTGCGTCTTATACATGGAGAAATAAGGTAATCAGCAATTAGAAACAACGGAAGAATTACTGGAATAAAGAAAGAGTTTCTGCTTCCAAAATTCTTCAGTGATAATTGTTGCTTGGTACCAAAAAGCCGGGATAAGAATGTATTCTCACTCACTTTCACTCTCTCCGTCGCTGACATGTAGTTGGCAGAATTCCTGACTGGGGATAATAAAAGTAGCCAATACAGACCATACGTTATCGTATTTATTACTACAAGAAAACCTTTCTCCTGGTGAAAATATGGCTGATTTGACATTAATAAGCAGAGAGCGTTACTTTGGTATATTGTCCTGAAGATAGCCGTGAAAACATATATAGTGTCACCTCTTGTAGAATACACTACAAATAAACACTCGTACATGAGTTTGTGCCAAATATCATGCTGGGAAAATGTCAAAGTTTGATATGGCAACGACCCTCTGTGAATTTCAGATGACAGTGCATTGATAGTTATGAGACGTATGGAGCGACTCAAAACTAGAACTTTAGCTTATTTTACATTGAATGATTTGCTTTTTATGGTTTATCAACCTTTTACAGGCTATTTAAAGCCACAAAATATTTTTAGATTTTAAGAATTTTACGGGAACTAATGATTAATTAACTCTTAACTGGGAGTCAGAAAAAAGGGGATTATTAACTTTCCTAATATAACGAAATTGATTGGAATTCCTAATTTCGAGTCGTTATGAATTATACCGCCCTCATATCCAAGCTTACAGCACCTGATATTCTCAAATAGTCATCCATCTGTCCAGGGACGACGTTGCTTAACTTCGGTGATCGTACGAAAATCGGTATTTCAACGTGATATGACCTTAAGCCCATTGCTTTAAAAATTGCGCCAATTGTTTGACCAGCACATGGTTCGATTTTCATAATAGAGATATTTTACATCTGACAGAATATCCATGACTGACGAGGCAGAAGAATTACGTGGAGTAGGTTGCCATTTCTTTCTACGATAGCCCAGTATATCCTGCTATTTAACCTATAGCTGAGGGGGACGAGAAGGAATTTATGGCTCTGTTACATTACATTGAGCAATATTCTATTACCACCAGCACTCAATGTGTCGATATTATATATGCATATTAGATAGATAGATAGATAGATAGATAGATAGATAGATAGATAGATAGATAATAAATAAACTAAGATAGATAGATAAATAAATAGATAGATAATGATTAGACTAAGATAGATAGATAGATAGATAGATAGAAATGAATAGACTAAGATATGAACAGATTGAGATAGATAATGAATAGGCAGGAGTAGATAGATAGATAGATAGATAGATAGATAGATAGATAGATAGATAGATAGATATGAATTGACTAAGATAGATATGAACAGATTGAGATAGATAGATAGTTTAGAAAGTAGAATGGTATCCTGTTGTCTTATGCATTATACATTTCCTCATAAATAAAATAAAAGTTATACCATATATATATATATATATATATATATATGATATATATATATATATATATATATATATATATATATATATATATATATATATATGATTGTATATAATTATATTTGGCAGCCATAGAAATGAAAAAAATAGAAGTCATGGTTTAAAACATTTCTTATAATATTTTGTGTCTTTTTGTTTCGAACAAGTGATTTTCAAGCACAAATAGAAACACGGATTTTTTTCCTTGTCTGATTTTTGCATAAATCTAGTGTTTGCTAACTTCAACAAAAATACTTCCAGCTTCAACGAGTTATTGGCGGAAACCATCGACAGAACCATCGTCACTTTTCAAGGCACAGAAATCTGAATAATTCACGCAGCCAATGAAAAAAAAAAAAAGGAAACAAAACATCCTTTCACTAAAAACACCTGGGACTTTTAATTTGAACCTCGACAACACCATTCTATTACTCTTACACTGAGTTTATATTTACTGACAAATGTGGAGATATTAACTCTATAAGAACTGATCGTTATCGACATTAAATGATAATTAATATGTTCAAATCAGATGTTTTATGGTAACTTCTCTTGATAGATATGAACAGACTCTGATAGATAGATAGATAGATAGATAGATAGATAGATATGAACATACTGTGATAGATAGATAGATAGATATAAACAGTGATAGATATGAATAGACTAATATAGAGAGGTAATGGTTAGACTAAGATAGATAGACAGTCAGAAAGCGACTGCTATAGATAGATAAACAGAAAGAGACTGCGATAGATAGATAGATAGATAGATATTAACTTATAATTAAATGTTCAAATGTGGATGCTTTTACGGTAACTTTTCTTGTGGGGATCTAATCATGGCGGGCGCATTTCGATGTTGCCTATTTCTTGTTTTCATAAGAGATACACATAAATAATTGAAGTATAATGTCATTGAAAACATTGTATTGTTGTATTGACGGATTCAACCATTTTCTTTTGATTTCTTGATATATTTGTTGTGTATGTTGACTTGGGAGGGTAGTGATTCTCTTAGGAAAGTTGATATTGGGATAAAACCGAAACGTATATTAATATTTAGATAATATTCAATGGAGGCACTCTTGAGGATTTTCTTTCAGAATAATACAAACATTATTTCTGTGAAAAAATTCTCTTCGTACATAAAAAGTAAATGGCATAATTTTTCAGTTGACCCAATGAATATATATATATATTAGCGTTTCTAAATTCTCGTTACAAAGGGTGGGTTGTTTAGAGATACTTTGTTTCAATAAATTAATTTCAATAAATAAAACGTGGTAGTGACTTTATATACATAAATACATACATACATGCATACATACATATACATGAAGAAACGTAGTTTAAGGTGTGCTATATTTACGGGATAAATTGCTCAATAACAGAGTATGCAAATATAAATATAAAAGTGAACATTGAAGTCAACACTCAGAGGCGACAGGCTTTTTCATGCTAGAAGCAATCGTCAGGCCGATATATATATATATATATATATATATATATATATATATATATATATATGTGTGTGTAAAATTGTGTATTTAGGCAGAAATTCTTCTTTCATGCAAGTTTCATTAAATATGACAAACAAGGTGCTTTGATTAAGATATTTTTATATAATTTCTTATGTGATCTTATAATTTTCTTTTCAGTAGATAAATTATATAAAAACTGTCCAAATGTTTTTTTCCGAGCCCTTTCGGTTATATATTTAGATATTTTCAAGGTTGAAATATATTAACTATTAAGTAGAAATAGATTTTTGAATGTATGTATTTAGTATTATAGAATGTTGTATTTTCAAAACACAGTCAACGTATTGTGTCCATGTTCATATTTGATATTATTGAGCGTTGTTATATTTTGTTTTTATTAATAAGGCCCCAATGTTTTAAGGCTTTTTTTGACATGTAGACGATGCTATTATATTTGTATTATCAACAAGTATGTTACGAATAGGATCCAGTAGACCCCTTGAGTATTTAAATGAGGCCTAATTGAGCTATGGACAAAAGGATATAACGTGAGTCTTCTTGTTAAACATGTTGTGGTAATCAGAAATACAATTCCTTAATGGGCATTTAAATTCGTAAATAATATTTGTTGTATTTGATTTTAAGCTAACAGATGAATTATTATTTTTAACTATAAATTGGCGATTTAATTTTTTTTAAAATAAATAATATAATTAAACAATATTAATTACATTTACCGGCTTGAATGTTCGAGAAATTTCATAGAAAATATGCATTCTCCAACAGGAATGGAATATATTGTTGGTCATTTTACTATAAAATGTATTGTTGGTCATTTTACTATAAGAATGTATTTTTTATGTTTTAATCGTGTTTTGTTTTTGTTTGGTTGTTCACTATTTGCCCATAGCTGGGACCCTAACAGATGCTACTACCCCGATTGAGGGTGGACCTGAGAGCAACTGCAGTTAAGATATGGTTCCAAACACCTCAACATCTGAAACCTTCCGGTGAGGGGAGGGGGTCTTGAAGTTTCGTGGAACAAACAGGGTGTAAGGTCTGAACTGTACGGGCAGGCCTTAAGGGGCTTACTTCTGATGACTATAAAACTCTACTTTATAACGAGCTTCCAAATTGTCTTCACGTCCCGACTGTATTCTACAATCTAGACAGCTGTGAAAAGCAGTGTTTAGTAGACTAAACTTATGTGCCCGCCGCAAATCAACAAATAAAATTCATCTCATAAATTTCATTTCTCACCATAACAATAAAATACAATCCCTCAATATTTACATAAGAGAAAAAAATGAAAATACTCTTAAGCTTGTGAGTGACTATCGCAAATCAACTGATAAATATGATTTATTAAATGGAGAGATAGATAGATATGCACAGACTGAGATTAGATAGGTATATATGTATGAACAGCATGACATAGATATATAGATATGAACAAACTGATACACACACACAGACACACACACACACACACATATATATATATATATATATATATATACGAGGGAGAGATTATAATTGTTCCAACGTGAAAAACGTGTATATTTTAAAGACAAAAGTGAAGACGAAAACGTTTTTAGGGTATAATGTGATATATATATATATATATATATATATATATATATATATATATATATATATTATGCTTCATTTTTCATAATATTGCTACACGGGTTGTGGGTCTCGTGATCTTCATCAGGCAAAGAATGGTTATTTCCACATATTATTTAAATTATTTTCTTTAACCATTGTCTTAAATAACTGCATTATGACTGATATCTACCACAAACATACAGATACCAATAATATCTTCATTTCAAGAGCCATCACCGAAACAGTTGTCTGTCATTTATCCCCTAATCCTTCGGACATGGGTTTTGCACTATAGTTGCCAATAAACACCTTCTAAAATCTAGCCTAGAAGAATTACATAAAACTCTCATAAAACGAGGTTACCCCACACAACTAATAAACAAAGATTTTGAACTACCAGAAAAGTACATTTAGACCAACGACGAAACCCAAGGAAACGCTACAACAAATTCTAGTGTTAATCTTATCATACAATAAAAAATCCAGAACTATTTACAGAAATAAAAAAAATGTAGGTCTATTTAACAAAAATTAAGAATGAAAGTTATACTAAAACCACCAAATTAATTAAAAGCAAACGCCGATCCAAAAACCTAAAACACATATCATTCAAAAACATCATTCAAATTTAGTCAGCAGACAATAAAAGGGGTGAAAAAATGCAGCAAGAAAAGCTGTGAATTTTGTGATATAATTATACAAGAAAAATCCTACACTTTTGAAAAAACCCAGAACAACATTTAGAAAGAAGAAAAACTTAAACTGCAACTCAAAGATGTGATTTATGTACCTAATTGCACAAAAATGCAACAAATGTTATATAGATATCACCCAAGCACTAAAGAACAGATTTCTTTCACAAAAGCAACATTAAATTACCAGACAACAGGAAACTCTTTCTGACACAACATATCCACAAATGCAACAAAGGTAAATTTAAAATTATGCTAATATACCAAACAGGAAAAAAAAAATTAAACTAGCATTAGTCCACCCACCCACAAAACTCACACCATTGACACACAGTGGCTAAACACACTAGTCGAACCACACATACACACACAGAAACAATCACCATACAAAATACATGTAGTGACTGCATATATTTATTTATAATAATATAATATGGAAAACGAATATATACACAAGTTGGCAAAATAAAAACAAACTCAAGACGGACGACACGCAAACACACATACTAATCCTACACATCATACAAAGCGAGTGTTTGTGTATATATATATATATATATATATATATATATATATATATATATATATATATATTATTTCCTTGTAATAAAACTGTGTATATGTGTGGAGAAGGAATACATATATATATATATATATTGTCACGTAGCCACGATTTCATTAACCATATAGGCGTTAGGCTAAAGTAAAATCTTAAATAAAGAGAAAACTAGTTAGATATAAAAGAAAAATAAATAAATAAATAAAAACAGAAATTTAATCCAATGCTTCCGACTCGCGAGCGAATATATTCTATGATCAGCCATACACCTTCTTTTCTTTTCCCAAATTCTTTCTCTCCTTATCTTCTCTCCCACCCACGAGCCAAGGGCCCGTGAACTTTGAAGTGACCCGACGCGAGAGTGACCTGGTTCGAAGATTTCGCGTTTGACCATGAGTGAATTCCAGGCACCATCAGGGTCTCCTGCTGCGATTCACGTGATCGGAATGTGCTGAGCATGTGTTGAACTTTTGGCCATCACACAAGAACTGCGTGATTTGCGCCCTATCCTCCTGCGTACCCGGTCAAGGACGAAGGGAACCCACGTGACTGTCGTTGGGGACAGCGAAAACCAAAAAAGGATTTTTCAGTTTCCCTCTGACCAGCGGTAGTTGAACGTCGCTGGGCAAAAATCGTCAGACCGCCCACTGAGATGAGGAAGACAGCAAAGTCTGTCGACTGGGAGTGAAAGGGCTGCTATGGACTGATCAACCCAACCAAATGCCTGTATGAAATGCTGGGGACCCTCGAACACTTGCGAAAAGAAGAAGAATCCAGGAGCATTGTTGGCCGGCCAAGATACTGTTTTATCATCAGAAATCTCGCTTCGGCGAATCAAAACTTTATGTGAAGATACCAACCCGACTGCAAGATAAGTTGGTTCTTTTGGCTTGATCTGTTTTCATATATGTATGTATTCGCTCGCGCCTTCTATTCTTTAATGATGTCCTCCCCCTTTGTTAAATGAATGTCCTTTTTTTTCTTTCTTTACTCCGTTATATATATTTATAAATAAATGTTTTATTTTGAAATCCATCGTCTTGTGTCTGTTCTTCGTTGATTCCCTTGTGTCGCTTCCATTTCTGAGTGAAGACCGAGAAAAGAAACCACGTTTTCCTTTTTTTTTAGAACCCGTGGTTCATCTATATGCTACAAGTTCGTAACAATATATATATATATATATTATTTCCTTGTAATAAAACAATATATATGTGTGGAGGAGGAAGATATATATATATATATATAGTATTTATTAAAAAAATCTATAACATAAACATTTTATAACATCACTACAAAAATAGCCATTTTGTTTCAACACTTCTGGTGTTTGGTCAAGTGATGATGTTGATTGCCGAATAAAGAGTTTTAAATAGTTCAAAAACAACTGAGCACGCATTTAAGAATAGTGTTTTTTTGTTGGAATTATATCCCGTT